TATATAATATATAGATGATAATACATATAAAGAATAATGAAATAAAAATAAAAATAAGAGAAAGAAATAAGCTAACAGTAGCATAAAAGTAATGAGAAATTCTAGAACAAAAATGAGCAGATACATAAAAAATGATGAAACATACCTTGCGAGGAGTTGCTACCGTTCTCCTGGTCATTCTCATCTTTTCAGTTGAAGTTTTAGCATACTCATTATTAGTAATGTAGGGTGGAATCCTCTCAATATATTCTTCTACGAAATTCTGCGATTGATAAAAACCATGAAGTTGATAATTTAGCAATTAACAATAATATCAAGATCCATCAAATTTACCTTCAAACTTCCTACTTCATGTAACGCATTTTCAACTAAACACAGGCTAATATTACTTTTTGGCAATTCAAATTCTCCTATCAAATACATTCTATATACGGCATCATATAGAAGATCCATAGCATATATACGAACATTAAAACCTGTCAACAGAGTGCTAAACTGATTAGATAAAAGCATTCAGAAAAAATATAATTAGAAAGCTACATACCAAATGCATGAATTCCAAATACAGCCATATCTAATTCAATACATTTCTCTTTATACATGTTATCTAGTGAGTCTTTCATTAACACTCCTAAATCCACTAGATCAACATTTGCATAGTGAGAGCTACTTTTGTAAGGCGACTTGAATAGGCCAAACACAAGTTCAAATTTGCCATTTCTTTTATTGACTGTGATTATGAAGTCGGGTTTATGTCCTTTACCTTCATAATTATCATTTGCTTTCCTAGATGCGCTTACGAACGACATCTTGTTTGCCCTATGGAAAAAGCAAGCAAATATTAACTGTCATTTAAATGCCAACTAAAGCAGGAATGACCAACACTGATCTGTAAAATTACCAATCAATTGTCCTATCTTGTCCATCGGGGAAAAATGGACGTAAAAAGAGATGTATTGAATGATGTACATGAGTATCTTCTATCGTTCAAAGATTATCAAAACTTGTTCGCCAATTTTCTGCACTAAATAGAATTATCTTAGTAACTTGAGAAATACATAAATCAAGTACCAAATTAAAATGTGATTCCAAACATTCCGACAGATTCTTAGCAATTTGTTGTCGGATGAACTTAAGTTTGTTTTTAAATCACTATAAGAATTGTCAATTGCTTCTTCTAAATCTTCTTTGGTTTGTTTTCGGGCAACTTGAGCACATCGATGACACATTTCTTTAACCACTTTTGGCAAACTATATTCTGGATACGTTGCCTTCATTAGATCAAAAATTTTTGTGCGAATAGCTGATGAAATGTCCAATTGTACACGGTTGGAATTTTCCTCCAAAAGGAGTATATAATTTAGGGCGCTGGACATTAATAATCCGATACATTAACATTATTAACTGTTAATATATACATTGTATAAAAAAGAAGATAACACGTCAACTAACAGAATTTCCTCAGGATGATTTGAGAATTTCAATTCATGCTTCTTCGCTTTGGATTCAGCAAAACCCTTGAAACGGAAAAAAGCATCGCTTATGTTCGTATTATCAATGGTCCACTCCTGTACGGAATTAAATATGAATTAAAGTTATATCATGTAAATGCTCTTAATGAAACACATCTACATGTACATACCACAACTATTGGTTTTAAATCCTCATATAAATTCCATTCTAAAACGTATGTAGGTTTGGCACGTTTAGTTTCCCTATTTTTTTTTGCAACCAGCTCATCCTGATATTCAACATTGTTTGATATGTCGGACTGTAGATACAATAAAAAATGAATTTAAAAAATATTAACATTTGCTCAGTTACTGAAAAGACTATACAAATTCTTCACCTCTTCTGATTCATCAGATGATTTTCTACGCTTTTTTGAACCACTTGCGCTACTAATTGACTCAGTTACATAATCCAAATCTTTAACATCATCAGTCTAAAAAGGAATCACGCAAATTAGTGCTATTTTAATGGTTGAATAGTCAACTGAACTCAGAGTTATAAAAAGGACTTACTGTATCATTATTAGGTGTTGATATGTCAGCATCTTCATATTCGAGATCTTCACCTCCGTCATTATCGTCATCACCTTCGTTATCTTCTATTTCAGATTCATCTCCTGGTTGTTCATAACCATGATTTTTTGTGTGAATCAAAACCTAGATGTGGAGGAGGAAAAGTGAAATTTTAAATTAAACCTAATTCATAACAGTCCCAGAAACCAAATAAATAAGCTACCGTTTCGGTGACTGATTTCTCCATCATGTTATTAACAGCACGCTCCAAATTTATTGAACTATCAATCTGCAAAAACAGAAGTGTGAAAAGCCAAACATCAAATAATTCGAATACTTATTCAAGTGCAATCCTACCTGAAGTCGCTTTCGTTCCTTATAATATTTGTAGGTATTCAGTAAATCCAGAAAACGTTCTCTTTCACTTTTATCATTTTTTATATTGTCAGCTATAGCTTTCACCTTTTTTTGCAGAGAAGAAGAAACATCTTTATGGTTTGCTATTATCATCAGATCTCGTACAAAAGAGCCATGAGTCGGTTTTCTTGTTATTGAGAAGTAGAGTCGATAGTTGTTCCACGGTGACAGGAATGAAAGTTAGACGATCAAATGATGAAAAAAACATACTTTTTTGCTTCCAAGGACAGCATTTCCCTACGTTCAGTCGGTCGCCTGGCTTCATGCTTCAGTTGCCATCGGTGAATTTATGAGACACGTACGCCTCTCGAGAGTGCTGTTCTACAGACGTCGCAGGTCTACGTGTTACATCTGATAGCATTCCCCTACGCCCAGTCGGTCACCTGGCTTCGTGCTTCAGCTCATCAGCAGGTTTATGAGATGCGGGATGCCTTTCGGGAGATGTTAGACGTCTTGTGAAGCTAACCTTTATTATCAAATCATATTCCGAGGTAATAAAATTATTTTCATTCGTGTTCTTTATTCTTATTTTTCCGATTTTAAAATACTATATCTCATGAGAAATTTTTATCGCGCCTGCTCCTCGAGATAACTTATGTTTTTACAGGGATTGGTGTAGATGGTTCTTATAACATTTGAGATAGTAACTTTTTTCACCACAATATTCACCACTACCCCACACGCCTTCTATATATTTTCTTTTTCATGGTCTTTATTGCATATAGGGCAGATCGTTGAACAAGTAAAGTAATTGCCATACTCATTACTATATTTTAAAGACAAATAAGGGAACCGCACCAATACCATTTTGATAACATGTTTTTGTTTCTTTTCCGGGTCTTTAGGTAAGATAGAAATTGGAGGTCAGGATTTGGTTGGTATAAGTGATATACTTATCTGCAAGTCTTTCTCATTAGGATCGAAGGTCTGGCTAAAAATTTGTGTGAATTGAGTACGGATTCTTTCCCACTCTTCCATGAGATCATCAAGCCATGTAGTACTTAAACCACTCTTTAGTATACCGCGACGTAATAACTCTTCACCAACCAGCCTATCCCGATCTGTTAAAAATTTGCGATATTTTCTAGGATCTTCTCTTTTTTCTATTCCACCACGGTAGAAGCGCGCATATCTCTTTCCAAGTCTTCTCCATAGCCCATCTTTTTTTCTCAGCCTCTGTAATAACTGAAAATTTCTCGAGATCCATTCCATGTTCGATGGCATATTGGCGTAAGCTGGCCTCTGGGTGATAAATCTTATTAGGATTAGTTCTAGGAATTGGTGATTGAGTTTTGTTTGACATTTCCGGTAAGCTCTGTATAGCGATTATAACTTTCTTCTGATCGATACGAAAAGGGCAATTAAGAAAATAGTGATCATTTGTACCTAGACAGCTCCAGTCACCCCACATACCTAAACGTGTGTATACTTCATCGCATATTGGACATTTAGCTTCTGAATTGGTATATTTAAAAACATCTCAGTACCATGCATTTGATTTAGTGTAGGACAAGAAAAGGAAACGTTTATATAATGCATCATGGATTATACCTTTTTCTTCTGGAAACTTGAAAATTTTGATAATGCAGTCCTGTGAAAGGTGATTATCAGTCTTTTCGATTTGTGGGAATTCGGGAGTTTCAGACTTTATCCAGGGATTGAGTCCAGTCTCTTCTGTATATGCTCTATATAAGCTTAAACGAATTTTATCTGTCAAATGACTCGGTGAATCA